AATAAAAATTATTTTTTAATACACACCTAAAAAAAATTTGATATTAATACTTTTTTAAATGCACGATTAGGATGGAGGACATTCTCAATAAAAATTATTTTTTAATACACACCTAAAAAAAATTTGATATTAATACTTTTTTAAATGCACGATTAGGATGGAGGACATTCTTTGCACCTCTTTAAAAATTTTCGCAAAAATCCCCGTACCCTCTATCGGGAGGAATGGAGATAAAGAGGGCATTCCTTTCCCTAAAGAAACCCATTGCCATATCTTTGTTCGTAAAAGTATAACAAAAAAAACTTTTAAAATAAAATTTTTAATTTTATATATAAAATAACTATGAATTTATTATGATTTTTTTATAATTTTTACAAAAATAAAAATAAAAATAAAATTACTAAATACATATATATCTAAAAATATTATATAACTATAAGCCAAAATCCTAAATCACAGTTCCAAACGCACCTAACGTCTCTATTAGCCTCTATCCTTCCACATAGATGCGCAACATCTGCGTCAGTAACGTTATTAATCAAGACGCTCCATCTGCAGAATAAAATATTAGAAAAAATTTATGACTCCCAATTTTGCAAAACTAAATCACTGAGCAGTTAACTCATAAATTCAGGGCAGCTAGACGGTGTTGAATGTGATATATGTAGCAACGATTGATTATGTATATCTAAAACCATAAGACTCTGCAAAGTTTACTCATTAGTTTAAAAATGCATGATGCAAAATCTGAATATTTCCATTGAAAATGATTTCATATACGATGCAGGAGAGAACGAATGTTTTGTGAAAAGAATGGCTACATCCATGAGATCCACCGAAAGATGGTTTCCATTAGTTAATCGAAGAAAATAACTTGAAAACACCAATTCCCTTGTTAATCATTCTTCTGGAAACCAAGAAAACTCCAACTTATTACAAAATTCCAATAAAGTAGAGAAGAATGAAGCTCTTACAGCTATAACAAAAGCAAGATACATCTTAAGAATATTTGTGGAGAAATTTTAGAACCCAATTACTATCATCTTATGTGCAGAAGAACAAAGACACAGAAGATAGACACAGGAATTTCAAACCTCCTCAGCAATGCTTTGCTGAATCTTGCATTGGACAGATGCCTTGGTTTTGCGAGGAGATCTCTTCAGAAGAAAATCTGCGGAATAACATACCATTGTAACAAAAGTGAGGTAGGACAAATAATTGCCGCATGTATATTCTACCAAATCATAGAATGCAAAGAATCAAACAAAAAATAGAACATTAAAAGGGAAATTCCTACTTAAAGCCTCTCAGTAATTGGACTTCAATAACAGGATGAAAATAAATAAACAAATAAAACCCGATTAAACAAAAGAGATATCAGAGAGATGCAAGCTTCAGTTCACATGAAAATACATAAGAATTAATGGTGCATAATCACTTTCTGAAAATTTTGGTCCCATGTCATTTAGAATACAAAACCAACTTAGCAGGTATTGTCTCTAATCTCAAAACATGGAAGGGGATAGCACAATGATCCAATAAAAGCATTTTGGAGAAAAATTTTGGAAAATTTTATTAAAAAACCAGTTTACAAGGACATTACATATATCTTCACACTAAATATATATCACAACACCGCCCAAACAGCAAAAATATATTAATGCCACATCTACACTATGAAGCAGTGCCTAGAAACACCAACAGTCGACAATTTCAGTCCAAATTGGTCACACCCTTCATTGCTAATGAAACTCCTCCTGAATACTTGATTGTCAACAACTAATAACAACCCAGTTCATTACAGGCGCAAAGAAATACGAAATATGCAAACAAACAATGATATAGGGTAAGAAATTATAGGCAGTAGGAACAACTAATAATGTATTTCAGTTTGAAAGGAACCCCACAAGGCCACAATCAGAATGGATTACCAAACTCATAAAAAAACAACATTAAATGAAAAATCCAACCTATTGGGGAGATGACTCAACATTGACCTAAAGTCCAATAAGAACTCAAAAGACAAATATGAGCAATGAAAACTTACCCACATGACAAGTGGCACATGGACCAATAGGGTGATCACACATTGCGACGATGTCATAAATGAAGATTATAAATACCCCTCTCCTACCTCCACAATTAAAGGCAATAACTCCATTACGTTTATGTCTCTACAATATCTAATTCCACAAGAACTTTTATCTCTAGCATAATTGGATATTGCTAATTTAAGCGTTGGATTGTTTTTGAGAAGCTGTCCTCAAGGTTTTTAAATACCGGAGCAGTTCAAATCTTCACTAGAAGCTTAAAGCTCGTGAAACAATCAAAATACAACCTTAAGAATTACAAAGAGGAATGCCCAAACAAAGAAAATACTGTTTGCAAGAGGAGAGTAATACAATGCCAATTTGGAAGCCCTTGAAAAAAATAAAAATAAAAAGCCAATCTAGAATGCTGATTTTATCAATATTATTTTATTGAACTCACTTCATATAAAAAGATTTAAATTAAAATACTTTTTTAAAAAATAACTACTAACCGTTGGATCATTTTGATCTAGTAAAAGACAAAAATAATGCACTGCCTAACACATTTCCACCACTAATAAATCAAATTTAAAAGGAACAAGAAATGAAGAGAACAGGGTTCTCTCTTGGAACATATTCTAATGAATTAAAATTTCATCTCTGTTTTATTTTTTTAAAAAAAATGTGGGAAAACTCCATTGTACATGCTCTTAGGTTTTTTTTATGGCTTTACTTCAGTTGTCTTTTTTTTTTTTTTTTTTTTCTCGGCCTTCTACACTTCAGTTGCTTGGAAATGGAAAAATTGAAGAAAAAAGAGGACTATTGTGTCAAGTATTCGTCTTAGGCTCCATGGTCCATACAGTTTGGGTCTCATATGGGCCTTAAGACATTACATTTTCTGCAGATGAGCAAACCTTGAACTTGAAGGCTAGAATGGAGATCATGAGGAACTGAGATTCTGACGGCTAAACGGGGCTTTAGGCGTAAGAGAATTTTCTTGAGAGATTATTAAGATGTGAAGTTTTGTGGTTATAATTCTAAGGAAGTAGTTAATGATTAAGAATTTGAGATTTTAAATTAGAGTTTTTAAATTCAAATTTTAATTTGAATAAGGAGGATTATCTTTTTTTTGTATAACCGGAGACATGCGAAAGAAGTTGTGAGAGTGTAACCCGGCCCAAACATAACTTGAATATTGCGGAAGCAGTATTTTTAAATAAAAAATATGTTTTGTAATTTTAATTATATTAGATTATTTAATTTAAATTATTAAATAGAAGCAAAACTTTTAATATTGGGTTCTTTTCCCATTTAATAATTTTTGTTCTAAAGTTTGTGCAATTTGAAACACAAAAGCAATAATCTTTTTCCAAATTGTTGTAACTTTTCTTAATGGAAAATTTTTCTTTATTCTCTGTAATTTTTTCTTTTAAGAGATTTTTACCCTTAAATTGGTATACCATAAATGAGTAGCTTAACTTAATTAGACAAAATATTTAGGGTTTACGTTGCCACTTTTAGCTTAAATGAAGAGAATAATAATAAATTAAAAAATTAAAAATTACTCACCAATTAAATTTTTTATAAATTAAAATATTAAAACTTACAAAATAATAAAAGGAAAAATGTATCTCAATCTTAAATCTTAGAAAAATTAAAATCATAATTTTAAATTACGTTATTTTATTTAATTAAAATTCAATTTAAATTTTAAATTTTTTTTATTAAATATTAATATTTTGAGTTTAAAACTAATTAAAATTTTAAATTTTAAATTAAAATTTTAACTTTTAAATATAAATTAAAATTTTAATTTTTTTTTAAGTCGAAATTGTTACATATTAACCTCAATAATAAAAGTACCTCTAAAATCTTCTTCTTTCTCCACTCATAATTCTTCTTTTCATTCGAAGGGACCGTGGATCTACATAAGCTAATTTAATGATATATCATTGTTATGTCATAAAAAAATATTATTTTAGATTAAGTTAATAGTTATATTATCATTTAACTAAATAAGGACTAAAAAGTGAAATTTATAGGGCCAAGAGATAAAATAAATGTGCTAAATATAGTTTTAAGTAGAAAAAATATTCAAAACAAAAATTTCTCTTATTTTTTTGTGGAAAAGGAAAATAAAACATTTCTTTTTATATCTTTGATTGCATAATTAAAAACAAATACCTCTAATGTTTAACTCACCTCACATATAACATGTATCTTAAATTAAAATTTTTTATTTTTATTAAAAATAATAGTTATTAAATTATTTAAATTCGCTAGCTCATTGAAAATGAAACGTCGAGGGCTGCCATGCGCATTTAAACCTACAAGAAAGTGATGTCTTCGTGATCTGAACATACAGAGACTACTGTACATTGTCCGTTTTGGATTGCTGTCATTATTTTGTCATCTCAGTCAAGGCGGCTGACATAACTAGCTGTTC